CATCTAAAGCATTGAGAGGCCTCATGAGCTAAAAAGAAAGTGACGAACACAAAGCTCAACACTTTTAGAAGTCCTTTTAGGTGGCATGCAATTCAGCTGTTCCAGCTTCTAGGTCATGTATCTAAAATACCATCTTAGGATGGAGGCAGCACATTGGGTCTTGTAAGGCTCTATAATCAGGCAGTGTTCAAGAAGAGAAGCAGGAAAAACTAGAGAGGGGGGACAGGGGAACAACACTAACACTCGATAAATGAAATCACCATGTTACCTTCTCGATGTAGGCAGCTTTGGATGTGGCATTTGGCGGTGAATTTGACTTGTCCAAGTAGAATGCCCTGAAAGAGTCCAAAGAAAATCAATTATTGTTAGAAAACAAAGAACATAAAATGCATGAAGATGTTGGTTTCCAAAAACTTCTGTTTCAATATCAGCAAATGAGCAAATTCCCGGCTGACGGGGGTTGGAGCTATGCAAAGGCAATGTTTCCATTTTTAAAAAAGACAAAAACCAAAACAAAACAAAAAACTGTCAGCATGGCTCACAGGAAAAAAACTTACTTCCAGAATTTGTCCTCCTACCTCCATGTGCAGGCTGTGGCCTATAGGCACCCCTCCCCCACTGTGCTATTCTCATAATTAGCAGTAACCTGTTTGTTGTCTGCTTTTCAAAATAAAGCACAATGATCCATCAATGAGGTTTTACAAACTAGATTAGGAAAGATAACTCTAAGAGCAACTTCCAAAACCACACAATTACATTAATTCTTCTTAATTAGTTACTTCTTTCCTAAAATACCAGTTAAGCCTCTCCTTCAAAGAAATTTCCTATAATCAGTTCAGAAGCAAAAGTTAGTTATTGCTTGCTAGAACTCAGACTGACCTCCTGAGATTTCTTTCCAGGCACCACCTGTGTGATTCCCATGAGGAAAATATACTGCCATGAATATTGGGATGACTTAACACCAGGCAGTGTTTGGTCTCAATGATTACATTACAGTGACATGACCCACAGATACCCCACCAATGCCAGGAAGATGGCTCTACTGAGCCAATGAACCGCTTTGCACTGGCACCGCTAGATCAAGAGCACCATTTAAACTTTCCACTAGATTTCCTGAGAAGGAGAGGGGAAAATTCCAAAAAGTTGCCAAAGAAAAAGAAAAGAAAGCTTGGATCCCACGAGGGGAAAAACATGCAGTGGAGCTGAGCTAGGGCCAGGGGCAGAGACTCAGCAAAGAGGCAAGGAGGGACTAGGCTGGGTAGGTGCTGGCAAGAAGTTGGGAGCCACTGAACCGAAGTGAACAAGCAACTTGTCCTCATTGCCAAAAACTGACCTGGCTGTTTCATCAACTTATCCTTATGCCCAACACTTCAGATATTGGAAGTGTAATATGTCTTTCATTTCAAACACACGAGGCCATATTTATATAATATGAAAACCTACATATACACTACCATGATTAACACATTGTAGCATTTTGCCCTTTGTCTCATCTTTTGCATAAATAAAATATCAGGAAGATGATCAAAGCCACCCTCCTCTATTCTCCTACTTGTGCCGATGATGGTCCTTTCCCTAGGCACCTTCCAGGCTAGGCTCACAAAGATGGCTGCCATGCGAAGGTCATCACAATACTGGCCACAGTCAGAGGTGCCAGAGAACAGGTGTTTGCATTTTTCCACATCCTTCTTACAGACTTTCAATCTCTGGCTTGTAGTGTAAATTCATATATATTTGTTTACCACTTGTACTTTTTCTCTTATTTGTCTGGTTCTATTCCTTACTTTTGTGTAGTATTATACTTTGTTTGTACAAAGTCATTAGCTATTGCTTTTGTTTTTTATTTGTTTGTTTTGATGTCCTGGAACTCACTCTGTAAACGAGGCTGGCCTCGAACTCACAGAGAACCACCTGCCTCTGCCTCCTGAGTGCTGGGATTAAAGTTGTGTGCTACAACTTCCTGGCCAGTATCTATTACTTTTCACACAGAATAAGTTTGATGTCTTAAAGTTTTGTTTTTAACCCTACACCTTTCCTATCTTAGCTCCTTGAGATTATCTAATTGTAAAAATCATTTATCTGATTCATATTTTCATTCACTGTCTTTTAGTGCATACTTTGCCATAAGACTTTAGAATCTGTATCAGTGGCATTTCCCCGCTAATACTACTTTCAGTTTAAGATCTGGAGAGACAGATTTATTTTTCTAATTTATTTTTTTCTGAGAGCTGAGGTTCCCTTTTCACTGGATCTCTGTCTGTTCTGTAGTTTAATCACTAGTGTTTAAGTACACATTTATTTTTATAGGTATACATTTATTTGTATTTATAGATCTAGGTAGGATCTCAGATTGAACTTTTCCATGTGAGGAATCTAATTTTCATATCTGAAATGATTGAAGTCATCACCTATCCCAGTTTTGACTTACCTCCAATATTTCTATTTTCTCTTGGTGCTCCCAGGAGACACATAGTCATCTCTTTTCAAGTGTTCAAGCCTTCTCCTTCCACAATCCCCACAATTCCCCCCATATACCCTTTTAATCTATCCGTTCTACATTTTAGGTGGTTTCTTCAGTAAGAACTTCCAAGTGTATAATTTTGTTCCTTTGTCAAATATATAACTGGTCCTTTGTTACAAATTTTGCTGTGAGGATTCCTTTTTTATTTTCAAGAGGTCTACTTATTTCACTTTACTTCTTTCCATTCCCCAATATTTCTTCCCTATGTGGCTACAAAGATGTCTTTACTTCTTACTCTAATATTTAGCAACTGTGAAAGGGCCATCTCAATAAATATTTTCAAATATATAATAATAAGTTAACTAATATTTTTGTTTCAGGATATTTATGGCTTTGTGGCTGATCTTCCTTTTGCCATACTCTCAGAATCACAGACGTATTTCTCTAGGCTTTGATTGATCAAATGTTTCTAGTACAATGGTTCTCCACTTGTGGGTTGTGACCCCTCTAGGGTCACTTCAGATATATTGCATATTAGATATTTACATTATGACTCATAATAGTAGCAAAACTACAGTTATGAAGTAGCAACAAAAATAATTTTATGGTGGGGTCACCACAGCAAGAGAGTGTTCTCTTAAACAAACAAACAAACAAAATCCACTCTAGATGGGTTGTCATCCTGTGGTAGAATACTACCTACCCTGGCTTACATAATGCAAGTTTGGCTTCAATTCCCAGTAACATAAGAGAAAAAAGTTGTCACTGACTTAGCCTCTTGAGAGCAGGTTAGGTCATGATGGTCTAAATGTATCAAGTTCACTTCTGAGTGACTTTACAGTAATCTCCAAGAATCAATGCAGAAAATATTTAGAGCAACAACTCATAGCTGATGTTCAGGAGAAGTAACTTATAGTTTGAAAATGAAGCCCACATCAAATAATACCATTTAGAAACCTTACTGACTGCTTTATAGCAGAACTGACAAAGAAAATCAGCTAATGTTAAAACTTCACTACTCAAAACATAAAAGTCACTGCAGATTCAGAGTTAAATATTTGAATCACAAAGATGTGTGCCTGTACTTAACACTTTCTAATCCTCATAATGGAAGGAAAATGAATAATTATGAAGAATTAATGCATGGAAAAGGAAGCTAATCAACAACTACTATTAAATATTAACAATGTATTTATTGTAAAATACACTGATTCCCTGAAGAGATCCAAAGAAATCACTAGAAACTACTTAGCTACTTCAATGTTCTTATATGCACAGTCAACAAATTTGAAGACTCAATTATATGTGAGGATGAAAGTTTAGACTTGAAGTAGAAACTAATGTTAGGAATTCTTCATCAGATTAAAGGTTGTTCAGGAGGTATTTCACTTAACAGGTAGCCAGTGAACTTCAGTATCATTCAGAATATGACAAACGAGGGCTGGAAAACAATTTCCTAATGCACTATCCTTAATTACAAAAGTCTTGCAATGCCTCTTAATCAAATTTTTTATGGAGAAAGTTAATGGTAAAATTGGATTAATGCCAAAGCTGATGTCATTTTCGATGCTTCTAAGGTGAGTAAGAATGAAGTCATGGTCCTGGGTCTGAATATAGAAAATCTTACTAAGACCATCCTGAAAGTGGTGATGCTATTTTGGAAAGGCTGACCAGTGAGTTCCCTTTCCTACTGGCCCATGTCAGTTTTCACCATCACAATTTTATTAAATGCACAGATTTTGGTATGATTTTGTGTTTAAGCCTCTGAGAATGAAATACCAATGAAAATGATCAAATGGCAATAAATTTCAGTGAAGAGTTGAAATTAAATTGACTTAGTTTCGTGTGTGTGTGTGTGTGTGTGTGTGTGTGTGTGTGTGTGTAATAGCTATAATAAAAGTAGACCTGGCAAAGTCTGCCTACCATTGTCAAAAAGACAAGTATAGGCGTATTTGCAATAAAGGCAGACTATAAGAAGTAACTTCAAAGTCTGAGTAAACAAATAGGAGGAAGGTTCCAAGAATAGGATTTAAGACTTGGATTTGGATAGAGTTGTGACAAATCATAATTGTAAGAAGCATTTTAAGATGAAGCTTCACCAAGAATAACATAATAAGCACAGGGGTTGATAGAGCCAATATGCCTAAAGAGTGGGTTCAATTAAGGGTGGAGGAGAAAATGTTTGGCAAGCTGGTCAGGTCCATACTCTAAGGAAATGAAATGTCAAACTAAAGAAATTGTCAATTATCTATTAAGGAGTGTAGAGGTCTCAAAAGAAAGGTTCATCTACCAGATACAGTAAGAATGAGCAGGTAAAAACATGTGGCTTCTAACATGTGGAAATTTAGAGCTGTAATGGATCCTAGAAATGATAAGGATTGCTCAAAATTATAAGAAGACCTTGGGGATGAGGTAGGGAGCTAATGCTTGCCATAGGTGGAAGAAAACAAGTGTGGGCACACTGATTAGTTCATGTACTCATCCAAGCTAAGCACTAATTTAAAATTTACAATATGGCACTCTCATTGGTAAACAGCCCAGATACTAGCTCAGCAAGATCTAGCTGTGCCCAAGAGATGATCATTTCTTTTCCCACAAAGGGAGACAATGCAATTTCCTGGTTGAAAAGAACTAAAGAAATTGATTTAGACTTCAGAAATACACAGAAGTTAGATCAATGACAAAAGTGACACCTTCTCATTTGGCCAGTCAATTCTCTATTTTCTGAGGATGTTGGAGAAGAGCCAATTTCTAAGATAGATGATGAAAGCAAAAGAGTTTCTAGTGTTTTATAACAAAGTAGAAGGGCATTTTCCATCAAGACTTCTGCTGAATTCTGGATTTTTCTCCAGATCACTATTCATAAAATCACCA